ACAAAGTATATTCCATGGTCCAGTTTATAGTATTTACCAACTTAGCATGAATGCCGAAGATAGACAGATGTATGGGGTGCTAGAGAAAATTCCAAGAGAAAACTCAAAATTATCAAATTACCCAAATTTCTTCAGGCTAAGCAGAAAGTACTAGCAAACCACCAGTGAGAAAGAGAGACCTCGGGAAAAAAATCATCTCACTTTGACAAAAATTCTGTGAAAAACAGTGGACTTTGTATGTACCACAAATTTGGGGGTCACTTCAGAGTACTTGAAAAAAGGAATATACATTAATTCTGTCACTTAAGTTCAAAGTTATTTAGCACTTTCTGTAGGTTAAAAGGAGGGGTAAGGGGATGGGAGGGGGAGAAGGGAAAGGGATAATTCACCAAAAAAAAGGGGGGGGCATAAAAATTAAACCAAGCTACCTCCAAGGAATAATTAGAAGTGAAAATCAATAAGGAGAAAATGGCTCATATTCTCCTCATTGATTTCCTATGCACAGTGAGTCAAACTTGACTGTTGGTTAGAAGTCAGTTTGGCTACTTCTTATTACTTTTTCAGCAGTTGGGTACTCCTGTCAGTTCCTTTCATGCTGGAGTCTTGCTTGGCTCTAATCACAGCTGTCAGCTATTGAACGAGTTTGACACCCTGACTCCAGAAGCGAGGGGATTCACACTGCATGCATATGCAGTGGGCTCCTTCATTAAAGCTGACTGACATAACAGATAGGGTGCACTGCCACTGATTTTTATAAGCAAAACAAATGGCTACACAATCAAGGAAGAGTCTCCTTGATCAGAAACACCCAGAGAGAGCAAGAATCAGTCTTTATACAGCTCAGCCAGTATTACTGGAAATACCTACGCTTACTTAAAATGGTAGATATGGGCAATGAGTCAAGAGCCAGCTACACACACACACACACACACACACACACACACACACACACACACACACACACACCTGACCCCTCCCCTACAATCTTAGCTGTCCATTCCAAATAATCTCGGTTGGAGTTACAGGGGTTTGTTAAAAGGGGGATCATTTAGCTACTGTGAGCTGGATTTTGGAGAGGCATTAAGTTTCTTGGAGGCAGAAGAAGAGACTGACACTGACCAGAATCTCCTCCCCCACCACCAAGAAAAGGAAGCACGGCTAGAGCTTCTCAGAGTATTTCTGTCCATAATGTCACGAAATGACAGACTCTAAGTTGAAACGGACCAATTAGCCCCAAAACCACCAACTTCAAAACTGGTTCAGAGCATCCCTGACGAGGGCCCATTCAGATTCTAGCTGACATTCTTAGCAGTAAGCGTGCCATGCCTGGCTGGACACCGCTTTCCGGAAACGGAAGCACAAACCGCATCAGCAGTACAGGGAGTCGCTAAAGCACGGTCCTGTGGGGGAGGAATTCCCATCCTATACCTTGTGTCTAGTGATCAGGGTCTGCCCTCTTCAAACCCCAGGACTTCATGACGCCAGCCACCACACCGTTCTGCTGCCCGTCACAAAACAGTCAGTCTCTGCCTCCCCGGGCTGCAAAGACATCATCAAGGCCCTTCAAAAGTGAGTGACTTCTGACCATCTTTAACCGGTTCCTTCCATCAGGTCCTTCAATACCTAGCCATATGCTCTTCTGTGGCAATTTGTGGAGCCTCCAGCACTACCGCCTGCGATTTTTCAGCAACTCAGAACTTCTAGCAGATAGTGACCCAAAAAAGAAAGATCCTAAGGGATTCAGCAAATACACTGGTGAGTATAAACTCTTCAACTGAGTGAGGAGCAGATAAGGGGATGCTATCGCTTGATGAGAGTCTAAGATGTAGCTTACCCTACTGTTTGGGGGGTAAGGAGTAAGGAGTTACACATCAACAATATAATATATATTTTATATATATAATATATACACATAATGTATATTATATATATTATAGATAATATATATATTGTATTAATATATATTATAATATATAATATAGTATGTATATAGTATATATTATATATAACATATATAATATACATTATATATTATATAATATATATTACATACATAATATACATTATAT